TGACATTAGAATGCATTGGCAATCAGAGATACCACGTGGATGAACGTTAACCCCAATCTCTTTTGACATTTTTCGTATGTGAGTTATTGATTTAAATCTCAAAACAGAGATAGAGTTAACGTTTATGTATGATGTATTTATGACTGCCAAAACTCTCTATTACCTCCTTCACATGCTACTTACAATTCTCAATGCCAACAACCAATCACTAAATTAATTTTAAGATGAACTTAGAACTCCTAAATTCTAGTTAACAGTGTCAAGGTACCCCTCAAACTGACGCTGTACTGGTTTCCGTTCCTTGGAGAGCCAAAACTTCAATCTTGAGCCCTTGGTTGGAAGGCCAAAATGTCGTGGACTGGGAGATGTGACAGCAAAAAATGGTGAAACACTTTATTGTATACTTTGCATAGAGAGATCTTGCCCGACAATATTATTTGGATCGGTTAACAGAGTCGTATCCTCACTTACTGCCTGATCACCATCCAGTGCCGTGCACATTTTTATTTATTGTTTAAAACCACTTCAACCCACTTCCTCCTCTTTGGTCTTCTTCTTCTTCCCTTTTTCGTTTCTTCTCTTCTTTCTGGCGTTGTCCGTTACAGCAACCAGACCTGACAGACCCACTGGCCTAAGATACTTTAATCGAGAGCAAAGGTCCCTCGGACCGCTCTGACAGTCAATGATAGAATAGAGAACTCTCAAGGTCAAACTTCACTATCAGCGATTTTGGCTCCAATATTCAATTCAAATTTTCGTAGTAGACCATTTTCTTTAAAAAAATGCCTTGCAAAAATGTTTTGCTCCAGACACTGGGCATAGGGTTTAGGCTCTGAGTCAATATATCGGTCAGTCAGTCAGCGCCCTTTTTATACAGCGTGAAAGTATTTGCAGAATAGAAAGTACATCAAAAAAAGTTCCAATAAAAATGAATCCAAACATGCTCCAATGCCATGTCTATGAACGCCACTGGTCCTCATGGTATACTTCCTCTGGTATTACCCATGCTAGATTCTTCTGTTCGTCTAAGATCACAACTGGTAATTGTGGAACCAATCAATTTGAGTAAAATGCTCATTTTACTTCTGAAATTATCGGCCTTTTCTTCTCAAAATCCGACACATTTCGGATTGAGTGAGCTCAACAAAGAAGATATCAAAAACCATTAGCAAACTCTAACGCGAAGTATCAGGAGGAGGAAGACCTATCTAAACGACTGATGTGACAAAAATTCCTCAGGAGACGAAATTTATGAAAAATTCAATTGCATTTTATAAATTGCGCTTCTCTGCTCCACAAAGGCCAGTGTCGTAGAAATATTTTCTACTAGAAGTTGCTACGACCTTGGTTCAATTAGGGCACGGAAACTATGTTTATTAGTAATGATATGCTGAACGTCTATTATCTCGATTCTTTACACAGAGTGAAATATTGAATACTTACATTAAAAATAAAAATATACTTAACCCTGGCAAATGAAAAAGATTAGGCAAATAGTTAGCGTGTTTTGAGATGAAATAAATTCATCAAAAAATGCCTTGCAAAAATATTTTTCTCCAGGCCTCGCATATTCAAAGGACGGCTCTGGGCACAGCGGTTTCGGCTCTAAGTCAATATGTCGGTCAGTCAGTCAGCGCCACATCGTGATTCAGAAAGTAGTGAAAATATTTTCAGAATAGAAGGTACATCAAAAAAAGTTCCTATAAAAATGAATCAATCCTAATAAGCTCCCCTACCTTGTCTATGAACCCCACTGGTCCTCATGGTATACTTCTCCTGGTATTACCCATGCTAGATTATGGAAGTAATCAATTTGAGTAAAATGCTTATTTTACTTCTGAAATTATCGGACTTTTTTTCTCAAAATTCTTCAGCATTTCGTAGTAAGTCGACAACAACGAAGATATCACATCATTAGCAACCTCTGATGCGAGTATCAGGAAGAGGGAGACCTAGCTAAACGATTCATCTCAGAAAAATTCCTCAGGGGACGAAATTTGTGAGAAATTCAATTGCATTTTATAAATTGCGCTTCTCTGCTCCGCAAAGGCCAGTGGCGTAGAAATATTTTCTACTAGGTGTTTCTACGACCTTGGTTCAATTAGGGCTAGGAATCTCTGTATTTTTCATAGATATACTTTTTTCAATTTCGTAAATAAAACTGCATTACCCTGTATCCCGGTAGGGGAGCAACTTTAGACCCATACTTATAGGAACTTTTTTCTTATTTTTGAATGTACTTTGTACCCTAGCGATATAAGCACGCGTTTCTGATACATCCTATTTATATTTTTTTGTGAATCAATAGTTATAAGAATAAATGCTTCAAAGAAACCGTATTTTTTTCCAAGATAGCCATTATATTCGAAATTCTCAGATTACTCCAATTTATTATACGTTTTTGTATTAGAAGTACGTGATTTGATGAAAAAATGCTCTTGTCTTACCTCTTCCCAAACCAGCTGTTTACTGATGCCAGGTCTCAGGTTCATGATCTTCAGTTCCGCTGCTTTAAGTACACCATCTTGTGTGAATTCTAATGGTGGTTTGCCTGCTTCTAAAGACTCTATGCTCACGTTTCTCAAATACCTGGAATAGATAACAGTGCGCTTACACATTTTGCTACTAGGATCAAGTTATGCATACATTAAAAAGTGAAAGTTCGTTGAAACTATGGATCGAGTTTTATTTAAAATAGCAGAAGCGCATCGTGAAATTGAAGGGGCTTTTTCCCGTTACCAAAATATTTTATAATGGTTTTTAAATGCTTCCAATTATCCAGTTGCTAATGGCAGTAAGCCAAAAGCAAAGTATAAGATCTACGGTCACCAACTTGGCTCTAATTACTCAGTACATTTCTGAAGTACTGGACGGTTAGGGACAAGTTGATGTCATCTACACAGATATTCAGAAGGCGTTTGATCAAGTTGATCATTATGCACTTCTGGATAAGCTTAAAACAGTGGGTATGTCTGATGCAATGCTGTCGCTCATGAATTCATATTTGAGGGATAGAAGGTTATTTGTCGAATATGGTGGTCATAGGTCGAGTTACTATTGGGCCACGTCTGGGGTACCTCAAGGGTCAAATCTAGGTCCATTATTGTTTTTAATATTTATTAATGACTTGTCTTTTGAACTGAAGTGTTTCCATTTGTTTTTCGCTGATCACCTTAAAATCTGTACGTCAGTCAAGACAGTCGAGGATTGCGTCATGTTGCAAGATGACTGAGCTCTAATTTCGTCATGGTGTTCACGAAACTGTCTCAGTCTGAATGTTCCGAAATGTAAAGTTATGACTTATACAAGAAAAGTTAACTATTTAATTTATAATAATTATAACATCGATGGTCAGGTTATAGACAGATGCACCTTTTATAGAGACCTTGGAGTCATTTTTGAAGCTAACGTTTACTGAGCATATACTCAATATCTCGTCGGCTGCCACTCGACTACTTGGTTTCTTTATCAGAAACTGGAAGGGTTTCTCCAATGTTGATACATTAATGACTTTATTTTTTACTTTTGTCAGGAGCAAGTTGGAGTATGCGACTCTGATCTGGTCGCCTATATACCAAAGATCTGTCGTGATCCTTGAGGCCATTCAACGTAAAGCTTCAAGGTATTTTCACCTTAAATGCACAGGTTCTTATCCAGAAAGAGGTTGTGACCATAGTGCCCTATTAGAGTTTTTCAATTTGGATTCACTGTCAACAAGACGAAACATATTTGCTTTGTCGTTTCTGTGTGGCCTCATTCACAATAAAATTGACTGTCAAAATTTACTTGAAAAAATATGTTTCTGCGTTCCAAGGCTAGGGAGACGACAACAAACGGCATTCTATTGTCAAGCTGGCCGTACAAATGTTATGACAAAATCGTCAATTAATCTCATGTGCTGCGTCATGAACAGTGTTACTGAATCGTGTGATATTTACAGTGACAGTCGTGCATCGATTATTAACTGCTATAGATCACCCAATCTTATTTAGAATGTATGATACTATATATTTAAGTCCAAGAACCATGTCTCTTTAATTGTTATTTTTTTTCAGCGTTTCCTGTAATTGGATTTCACCCGTTGGAAATAAATAAATAAATAAATAAATAAGAATTTGTACTTATTTAAGTTTGATTTTGAAGTTCAGATGCTCGTTGTGAGTAAACAGGGAGTCGCAGAAATCGACGACAACCTGGAAACGTGGGATGGGCCCAGTCATAATAATTATCAGAAAAATATATAAAAAATCTAAGTCGTGTAATTTTCAAATTATAGTCTTTAAAAGAAAATCGGAAAAATTTACCTCGTATACCCCGTATACTGCCACTATTTAAACGAGAGGATGCAATTTCAAACCCTCAGGTATGCTTTTTACAACAGTCCGAGTCATACTAATACACCGCGGCTAATGCGTGGCGACAATGCTCACTAGAATGACCAGTTCAGACATTACTATCTCTAGTTAGTCCACCATCAAAGCGTTATGTAATTTCTTACTGATTTTGACTAATTTGACACTAGTCATATACAGGTATTACTTTAAACGCAAGCTTAACCAACACGAATAATTTTTTAATGTAATTTAACATGAACCAACATGATCAGTGGGCCACCTTGAATCATTATAAAAGCTCAACTATACTGGAGAACTGAATGTCAACTTAGGACGTATCTACAATTTTCGAACAGAAAATGATACTATGCGTACTTGAAAAATCTGTCGCCAATATGCCACCTGGAAGCACCTCCACCGTCTCCTTCACATGACAGCTGGGTGTTGAGTGACCTTCCAGCATTAACTGGATCGCTCGTGAAATCTTCCACCCCATATGCGTATACCTTCATTGCTGTTGTGATCTCGTTCACCAGGCTTGAGCTTGACGTGTCAAAATGGACTCCTGTAATAAAAAATGACTCACTGTTTATACTGTTGCATATGGTAGAATACTTGCTGAAATATGATAGAGGCGAATTCTAATCGTATACTTTTTGCACACAGCCCAAAAAAACAAGGCAGTATTTAACGGAAGAAAACGTGGAATTATTGCACCATCCTCCATATAGTCCAGATCTGAGTCCTAACAATTTCATTACTTTCCCGAAAATTGAAAACAGACTGCGTGGTCAAAGGTTCCAGTCACCAGAAGAAGCAGTTGACGCATTCAAAAATGCCGTTTTCGATCTGCCAGCAAACGATTGGAATAAGTGCTTCGAAAATTGGTTCGAGCGCATGCAGATGTGTATTAATCTTCGTGGAGAATACTTCGAAAAACAATAAAGTCATTTAAAACTACCTACCGAGTTGTTTTACTTCCATATGCAAAACTTAAAAGACATCCCTCGTACTTCTGCTCAAAAGGAGAATGGCATTTAGGATGCAAATTTACCAATTTTGATCATCAAGGTCAACTTAAAATTTTGACAAAATTCTACAAAACCGTAGTATGCAGGTCTGACCTTGATATTTTATTGTGATGTACATATGTGTGAATTATCTAACTAAATTTAATGTAGGGTTTTGGTTAACGTAACTATTCTGAAAATACCAGAACTGTTTATTGGAGATCTATACATCTTCATCATATTTTTGAGATGGTCTGGAAAGTCAAATTCAGTCTATTTTCATAGTAAATGCCGTTTCTCTTTAAAGTAGAACAGCCGCCTGTTGAATTAAATTACTAAGAAATTCGCGAAAAAGAAAGTATTCGCCGTATTCACTTGACGGTCAGTAACGGTTGAAGTTTTAGGTTTTGTGTTACAAAAGCTAATAGAAATACGATGTTTGTATAAATAAAACTGTTTTACAGAAAAATATAAGAGACGTATTGAATTTTTTTGCTAGTTAATAAACACCTTCTACTGTCTTTTTTTTCGTACATCGTCAAAGATTCCTATATTCAGTTAAAGGGTGTTGTTTTTGATAAAATACAAAAAATTGAAAACACGAGCCCGACTCTGTATTTTGCAACCGTCCGATTAGTTTTACGTTGCTCCTAGATCCCTTTGTTATTGTCCAAAATGTCATAAAGTTCAATACCGCCCGAGATTTGTGTTAATAAATATTCAGATCAAGCACCCTGCACCCTTAAGAAATGCATTAAAAACTTTTCCATTTCCAGATATGAAAATTTTCCTCCCCATACTACCCACTATCTGTCCATTACCTCTTGGAACACTCTGTATATGAGGTTTGCTAAATAAATGCTAGGCCTAAGCAATTCACGCATATTCCAAAGCGAATAAGTATGCAGCACTTTGCACTTTTCACGCTCAGGGCGATATTTAATTTTCTACAATTTGAACGGCCTCTCTGCTCCCTTGACAGCGAGGTTCGAAATAATCCTCCTTCTGTTGAACGTTACCAGCTTTAATTATAACAGCGCAGCTGTGAAAGAGATTTAAGGCTGGAATGTTTTGCATATGAGCGTAGAACATGCTTTGAAAAGCGTATAATTATACAGGGTGGCCAATATATAAATGATTTAAATGGTCCGTGTTTTTTCATAGATTTTATTAGTTTGTGTGTTTTTGACTTTTGAATACTCAGTTTACTTGTTGATTTAATTGTTGTGTTGATTGTTCTTGTGTGTCCTAAATATGGCTCTTTGGAGACCTTGGGAAAATGCTCCAAGCCACGAGGAGATGGTTGATGAACCTGTGCAGGCAGAATTCTTTCATAAAGATTTAGAGGAACAGACCCAAAGAGTAATCCTAAATATGTATGATTGTCTGAAAAACGAAAATCCAGATTCCTCGCAAAATCAAATTTTAAACAGAAATTGTATCCTGACAAAAATCAGTCGGTCTACCATTTATCGGGTTATAAAAAGGGGAGATGTAGTCAACCATTCCTTCCACAGAAAGCGCATAGGGCAAAAATTAAAAAGAATAGACGTGGGTTTTCAGGAAGTTATTCGTCGTATAATATACGGATTTTATAAAGAAAATTTGATGCCCACGTTGGAAATGATACGGGATAAATTAAAAGATTATCCTGAAGATTTTTATAATTACAAATGCTTAGACTCACTGCACTGTATTGTAAAACTGTGTGGTTTTCAATACAAAAAATTAGATAAAAGAATGGTGATTATGGAGTCGTCTCGAATCGTTGAATTGCGCCAAGAATTTTTGCACAAAGTTAAAATCTATAGAGAGCAGAAAAGAAATCTGATTTACCTGGATGAAACGTGGTATGATACCCATGATGTTGTGCAGTACGGCTGGCTTGACGACAGCAACAAGTGCATTTTAAATGCACCATGCAACCGTGGAAAACGAATCATTATTCTCCATGCTGGCAGTGAAAATGGATTTATACCTAATGCCTTGCTGTTATCTGCCAAAAATATCAAAGAATCATGTGCCGACTATCATAAGGCATGACCTCCGACTTATTTGAAAAGTGGATAGAGCAGCAGTTAATACCAAACATTTCCCCAAATTCAGTGATTATTATGGACAATGCGCCATACCATTCCCGACAGAAAAACAAAATTGCGAATACAGGCACAAAAAAACAAGACATTATTGATTTTATGAAGGATAAGGGAATGGAAATACCACAAAAATCAACCAAAGCCATATTATTAGATCTGATTAAAAGACAAAAATTTGAAAAAGAGTATGTTGTTGACAATCTGTTTCAGCAAAATGGCCATGAAGTATTACGTCTACCTCCCTATTACTGCATTTTTAACCCGATTGAGTTGGTCTGGGCTGCTTTTAAAAAAAAAGTAAGAAAACAATCAGACCCCTCAATTAAGCGAATCGCTATTGGCCACAATAAGAGATGCAGTATCTCATATTGCTGCCACAGACCTATGGAAGCAGTGTTCTAGGCATATTATTGAAAAAGAAAATGAATATTGTGTTTTGCCTCCTGTAAATCCCGTTGTAATTCCTCTACAAGATGACTCTAGCGACAGCTCCGAAGGCGAGGATGATATATAAATACCTATAATGTAAGTCTTTATATACCTTTTTATATACCTACCTGCTATGTAAATATTTGCCTATGTCAAACGTAGTATTCTGTAATTTTTCCATTTCTTAACTTTCAGTCAACATAAATTAAACTCCCAATATAAGTATTTTTTATCCCAAATCAAAAAAATAAGAAGTTAGTAAAATCCATTTATTGTGATATAAAAACATTATTATTATCGTTCTAAATAAATAACCGCACGCCTATGATACGTCATGAAATTACAAAGGACGCGCCGACCAAAGGTTTTTATGCTATTTCAAGTGACTTCAGATAAGCCATACAACTTAGGCCCGTATCGTCAGTCGTCCCTACAATTGTAGGGTGCGTTTATGGCCTCCTTGATTGCCATAGTTTTCTACTTCTCCGTGTCAGCGCTCTATTTTGAGGTTATGTCACAAACACCTATTTGCATCAAATTGTGCTTGCTTTTGAGTTATATCATGTTTTATCAGCCTGAAATTTCCTACAATTTAAAAAGAAGACATATCTTTACAATAGGAGAGCGCTGACGCTGACACGGGACAAGTGTAATCTAGAAATTTTTGAAGGAGAGAAAGGAGTATGACAATCAAGGAGGCCATAAAGGCGCCCTACAATTGTAGGGACGACTGACGATACGGGCCTAAGTGCTAAGTTAATATCTTGTAGAAAAACCTACATAATATCAAAAAAAAAGACAGCATAATGTCAAGAAAATCGGCATAATGTCACTTTTCAAGATACGTGATATCCGTGCGGATTTGCCCATAAGCAGAATTGTCATATCTGGACATTAGAGAACCCTCGTGTCATCCATCAACGACCACTACATACTCTTCGAGTTACAGTTTGGTGCGGTGTTTGGTATGGAGGTGCCATTGGACCTTTCTTCTCTGAAAACGCTGCAGGTAATTCTCTTGCTGTCACTGGCGAGCGCTACCGTGACATGGTGCAGAACTTTCTGGCTCGTAAAATCCAACAATTTAACCTGCAAAACATGTGGTTCCAACAGGGCGGAGCAAGTTGTCACACAGCTAGGGAAACAATGAATCTTTTGCGAGCAATATTTCCGGGACGTTTAATTTCTCGCCTTGGTGATGTCAACTGGACACCAAGGTCACCGGATTTAACGGCTCTTGACTTCCTTCATGAGAATTTTTGAAAAATAGGGCTTATGCCAATAAACTAAATACTGTAGAGCAGCAATTTAACAAATATTCAACATACAAATCAGTCAGTTACATATCGGCCAACCTGTATTGGTATATACAAGTAAATTGCATATATTATGTTCTGGCTAATAATTAAATCGACACGTGTTGAAACAGGAATTTAGCGGCATTTTAGTGCAAAGTGAGCACAGTATGATAAGTTAAGGTATCTATTCGTAATGCTAAATACTATCAAGATGTTAATCTTCTAGAGCAATGGTGATTTATGTTGACTAAGCAGCACAAATTTCAAGATGGCGGCTCAGTGCCATCCTGAAACACTTTATTGAATAGAATTTACTGTCTTAGAAAGACGAATTTCCCTGATGTCAAATTTGAGCCTTTTTGTTCGTTGAATCGCTTATATCTCAGAAACTAATCATCAAAACGCTACCATCAATCCTCTTTAAAAGATCTTATGCGAATGTGCCATAAAATATGGGACATTTTGTTCGAAGAATCACGGATTTGGACCATTGCTTTAAGTGGAATGTTAGATGTTTCATTACATACTCTCATTTTTCACTCCACAGTATGAAAATATAGTGTTTCTTGGCGACATGAATGTTGATTTACTTAATCATAACAATATTCTTAGTAATTGTTTTGATTCCTATAACTTTACTCAAGTTATCAATGAGCCAACTAGAAATACGCAGTTCAGTTCTACATTGGTAGATCCTATATTCATCAATGCTGGGGTAATGTTAAACACATCTGGAACGCTAAATGCTGATATCATTTCAGAACATAGGTTGGTATATTGTGAACTTCTCGTGACTATTCCTAGACCAGAAGCAAAGTTTTTGACATATAGAGATCTAAAAAATGTGAATATTGAGCTGCTTAAAGAACGATTAACAACTTTGCATTTGGATGATGTTTTCTATGTACAAGACATTGATACGAAAGTTTCAATTTTCACTGAGCGTTTGATTCACTTATATAATGAAGTTGCCCCAATCAGGTCTGCACGCATTACCAAAGCTGCTGCTCCTTGGTTGACATCAAATCTAACGCGTATACTTCGTTTGCGAGACAATGCGTTTCGGGCATATCAGGAAAATAAAACAGA